ACACAGGCCTGAACTTCAATTCATAAGGAGTAAGACACTGAAAACAGAAGAGAAGATAAAATAAAGAGAGTTGCAAGATACTTTGGATTCCATCTATGCTAAAACCCATCTCTTCTTCTCGGATCCCTACACTACTCATATTTGGGAAACGATTTCATCTATGCTGGAAATCCCATTAAACTGTGTTTGGCAAGATACTTTGGATTGGTTATGTAAGAGAGTTAAACATAAGGCTTTGTACAGTTCTCTTCTTAAATTGGCTTGCTGTGCATCAATATATCATATCTGAATTGAAAGAAACAGCAGGATACATAGGCAGCTATACAGATCTCCTTCTGCAATAATTGATATGATTCAAATGGATGTCCGAGGCAGAGTACTAGGGTCTATAAAGGAAAGGTCTTCTCCCATGCCAAGGAGAATTGCAGCTCAATAAGGATTAGAAATTCTATGTACAGCTAAGGTTTGAACATACAGCAGTTTAGGAGTTATTTCATTCTTTATACTGATATTAGTGGCAGCCTTAACAACAAGAACTGCTTTGTGTAAATTTTTTGGTGATTTTGGTAATAAATTCACATTTACAAAACAAATAAATAAAATAAAGAGAGATGAAGGGGATGGGTACCTCTTTCTCTGAAGTGGGTATAGTCTTATAGCTCTTAAGAACGTTGTTTTGGAGAGTAAAATAGCGTTTGCGCGAGAATTGGAGCCCAAACCGATTGGAACGAATGGTATATAGCCATCCCTCCATCTTGTCGTCACTTTGTGTAATACCCATTTGAATGAATGAAACAAAGAAACAACCTTTCTTTGCTGCTTCTTTTGTCTTATAAATTTTCCTCACTTTGCATTTCTCTCTGGTTTCTTGTACCAGAAGAGGAAGCAAGAAGGTTTGCATGGGCTTCTGCAATTATGTGTTATATAATTGCATGTGAAAGTGAAAGGGATGAATTGAAGGCTCTCTCTTACTTTTCTTTTTCTTTTTCTTTTCCTTTTTTTCAGAAAATATATTTTTTTTTAACAAGGAGAAAATTTGAAAGAAAATAGAGAAATATTACAACTATTTCAACAAAAATTTAAACCTTGACCTGAATTAAAATATTTAATACATATTATCAACCTATCAGAAGTTGCTAATGTTTTTTTTGAAAAAAAATATTGATCCTCTGGTCCCAAAAAATAAAACTAAGAGAAAACCAGTACCCCTTGTGACTAAATGGGAAATGGAAATGCCTTCACCTCTTTTATTATGTTTCGTTCTTCTCTCTTGCTTTTAATGGTGGCACATCCCTAACTAATTTATTGCCCACGAAACAGAGAGTTGCAACCATTTTTTTAATGTAAAGGTATTAAGGTTAGGGTTAACTGGTAATTACAATCTTGATTTATTCTTTGATTGAGGGATTTATTTACAAAGGAGTAGTTTTTATTGGCTTAGAAGGAGGAGAGAATAACTCCGTCATATTAATTAGTAAATAAATATTATTTTATAAAATAAATTTAATTTTTAAATCTTATAATTAATATTTAAATAATTAATTTTTTTTCAATACATTATACTAATAAAAAAATGTGTTCTTGAATTAAATTTTTAGATTTAATGATTCGTACCAAAATCTTAAAACAGTTAGACTTATTTATCAAGATTTTAATTTCTATGAACATTTTGACTAAAATCCTCCTCTCTAAATTATAGATAGTTCAAAAAAATAAAATAAAATAAAATAATGTATTTTTAGAATTAATTTAAAAACACTTTCATCATAAATAAAAAACAAAAAAAATTGAAAAGAATGGGCAAGTGGATGATGGGAATGTTTCTTATTCTTTAGTCCTTCCCATAGATGCCGAAATCCAACAAGCTGCTTTCATTTTTCGCCGTCTTAATTGCTTGGTCAAATTGAATTGAATTCCCCTAAAAATCACTTTCCACAACAATTGATTTCTCCTCGTAAGTGAGAATTACCTTTTCTTTTTATTTTTCTTATGTGACTTGGTGTGTGTGTATATATATATATTTATTTATTTTTACACGGCGGACATAACCATTCTCTATCATACATGTTCTTTTTTTTTTTTACATTTTTGGTGGCATTTATTTATTTATTTTTTGGTGGCATTTAATTGATTCCTATATGGGTGAGGATTGGTACAACCAAACAATGACAAACTCTTCCGGTGACAGAAAGAGATTGAACGAAGGTAACATGTGTAAGTAAATTATAGATATAAAAGGAACCTGCCTTTTATAAATGCTTTTAAGAATTGTCGGTGGGTGGTGTGATCTACACACTTTCAATTATTAATGTTTTATATTTTTAT